CTGGAGAAAGACCCTCCGGCCCACCTGTTTGTGCCCCGGGACAGCCCCGGCAAAGAGGCCGGGCGTCCTCCAGTGCTGGCTGGCAGTGGAACTTGGCTTTGCTATGATCGGTTCCGATCATAGCAGTGCTTTTATAACAGCTGACTGGTGGTTTCAAAATGGCCGCCTGCTGTTTCTGGGACAGATTCCTCCCTTACCGAACAGCGAAAATGGCTGCGCTATGGAGGATCTTCGCTGAACGGTGAGTTTCAAGCCCATAGGAATGCATTAATTACGTTTTAATGTGTTTCTATGGGCTTTTTTGCCCCGTATAGTGACGAATCCGTATAGCGACAATTTTTCCGGAACGGATTATCGTCGCTATGCAGGGCACCACTGTAAACTGTTTTAAATCATGATTTACATTTTTCAAAAATTGGATTATTCTGATGATTTAATTTCATTTTTTAAAAACATTTAAATCATGATTTAAATCAATTTGATTTTAAAACACACATTAATTTATATCCACCCTGGCTTCAACAGTCTGAGGTTCACACTGGCAGGGGTACCTTCTTAGCCGATGAGCGAGGTGAGTGGGATTCTGGGAGGAGAATTAAAGAAGAAGAAAAAAGTCAAGTTAACGACAGACAAGAGTCCTGCCAGTGGGTCTGGTGAATCTGGTGAAGGAGATCCAAAGCTAAAGTCAAGAAGCAATCCAGGGCCATAGAGTCCAATCCAGAACAGTGAGTGGCAGGGATTATACCCAAGAGGTGAAGTCAAACACAGTCCAAAGTCAGGTGCTATCAGATTGGGTCACAGGAAGCAAAGGATGCACAGACAGGTAGCCAGACCTGAAACCCACAAGAAACCACGTTGTCTTCAGGGTTCAGACTCCTTGGGGGGCAAGAAGGTTCCTCAGGTTAAGAGCCCTCTTTTTGGCTGGAATCATCAATGCTCGTCTGGCTACACTCTAAACTCCGGAGGTGGCTCAGAGTAATTCAGCCAAATAAAAGATGAGTTTTACGTGGCTGGTGTGGCTCACCCACGTGGATCTTGCACCTGTGTAGATATTGACCTGGAACACTCCAGAACTGGGTCGCTTTTGGAAGGAACACCACCCCCTTCCTCTGTCATACTCTTGAACGGCTTCTTTTGTGTGTGTGTATTGTTTCTTCGTAACTAAATAAAAATCACTGTGTTTTTTGTTTAATTTCCATCTTCTTAAGTAGGGTTTTACTAGCATTTCAGAAAACCTTCCAGGGGTAGCAGAAGTACGGCATGTAATACTTATGGCATTAGCGATATAGGATGGATGTTGTCCTGCTGCTGTTAGTTAGGGTGGCCAGGTCAGCCGCCTCCCCTTCCCTGAGATTTCAGGGCTGAAGCCTGAGCCTAGGGGGCACCTCATTTGTGATTGGAGAAAGGGAACTACAGGAGGACCCCCTTATCGGGAGGGGATCAGTTCCCAGCCCCCGCAAAAAACTATTAGTTTATAGCAGATGCTATACATAGCATGGTCCCTCTAGTGGCCAGTTCTGATAACTTCATAATTAAAAATACAGTGGTGCCTCGCAAGACGAACGCCTCGCGGGACGAAAAAACACACAAGACGAATGGTTTTTTCAATCGCTATGGTGCCTCGCAAGACAGCTTCTTCTATGGCCGTGCTTCACAAGATGATTCTCCCCCCCGAGACCAGCTTCTTCTATGGCCGTGCTTCACAAGATTCTCCCACCCGAGACCGATGCCTGGCAAGACGAAAAAATTTCATTTGTCTTGCAAGGTTCCCATAGGAATGCAAAACGATTTTTTTTGCAAGACAGCACTTCTCGCAGAACAAATTACATTCGTCTTGCGAGGCACCACTATACATTTTAATAATTTTCAGACCATGGATAAGTGAATCAGTGGATACTGATCCACAGATAAGATCCTAATGAATTTTTTCTCCTGCGCTTTGTACACCACTGGCATTAAGGTGTGTACAACAGGAAGGCTCAAGAGGCAATATGCTGGTGCTCCACTCCATTGCCTTGCTCTAAGTGACTGCCTTGCGAGCAAGTGGAAGGAGACGATGTGGGCAGAAATTGGATCTGAGGAAGCTGAAGAGAAGTGAGAGAACACCATTTGTTCTCGTTGTGAAGATAAAAATGGGAGGAAATCTGTACCCAATCCATGATAAATTGTTCCATTGTAACACAACCCCACCTCCAGCTGTGAGGGAGAAGGGAGTTGTTAAAATGGAAAGGACCTTTGCGATTTGTGTTTTAATGTAACAGAAGAAAACAGTTTTATTTTTATGCACACACATGCTGCAATATGGCCTGTTGTCGTTCAGAGCCGGCCTTTTTTTTGCTCTTCTTCCCTTTGCAATAGATTGCTTCCCTCAATGCAACCAAGCTTTTGCTGAGCTGTAGCATTACAGGCCTGCCTTTCCCACCAGTGAAGAGGATAAGAGTCAGTCCTATAGTTCGTGCAAACTGCTTCTGTCCATCTGGGAAGAGTTTTCCAGATTTTTTTTTTTAGCATCTCCAGTCCTGCTCTTTTTGGAAAAAAGAAAGATGCTGAGGATGGTTTCTAATTTTTTTTTTGCCCTCCCCTAAATGTCCTCAGGGCAAAAAGTTGGGGTGGAAATTGTGGCACATGGACACCGAAGAAAATGGAGGGAAGGAGCACTAAAGAGAACCTCAATGTCCAAAGGCAGTATATCTCCATCATGTTCCTGCCATAAGTCACTATGCCACAAAAATGGAGAGAGACAGGACGAGTGGAAAAGAGATTTGAAAACATGGTTTATTGGATTTATCCCTCTGTTGTCTGCTGTCACAGCTTCTCTACAACCTTCCTTTAGCCTAACACATCTTTGTCTAGCTAACTGGAGCAGTTTGACCTGTTAAGGCGCTTTTATCCTATAGAATACTCTTTTTTTCTGGCACTAAGACTAATTGAACACTAAAGGTTCTGCTTTGGGGCATGTACAAGAAGTCCGAATTAAATGAAATAAATGAATTCTTCTCCAGGGAAGAAAAGGTATCATGTGACACTCCATCTTCTGAGCCAGTTTGGAGTCCTGATTGGCATAGAATTTCCTCTAGGATTTTTTGGTTCCTAGAGATTAAAGTAACACGGATGTCTGCATGCACAAGAAACTTTGCCCCATGAAGAAAAGCATCAGTGAGGGTAGGATTTGAACCCGCGCATGCGGTGTGTGGGTAGGATTTGAACCCACGCAAGTTGTGTGTGTTAACAGATGGCAAAGTAGCATTAAATTTTTTTTAACATGCAAAGTTAGAATTAGAAAAACACTAGAAAAGGAAGCCGAGTGCCATATGAATAGTGGAAAAGGTCGACAAGGGTGGGATTCAACCCCACGCGTGGATTAGCAGTCCATCACCTTCACCACTCAGCCACTTCATCCAAGGTGGGGCCCTCCACTGCCGTCCCTGGGTGGGCTCGAACCACCATCCTTCTGGTTAACAGCCAGACGCGCTAACCTATTGCGCCACACAGACGTGGGCAATTGCTTGCCTCTATTTCTCTTCATCTGAAATCTCACAGCCAGGGATGACAAATGGACCAAGAAGCCATTTCAGTTCAGTCACTTCCTGTCCAGCTGAGTGGTGCAGCCAGAAGGTACTGGGTCCATAACTCGGAGGCTGAGGGATCAAAACCTTCCTTCACCAGGTAGCTGATGCCTTTTTCTTTTTGCTCAGTCCCAACCTCAACCAAAGGGACTGACCCCTTCCCACTACCGGAGAGGGCCTTTGTGCTATATATATTGAAAAATCTCCAGTGCAGTCATTTGCTCGCTCTCTTATTTCTCTCTGGTAACACACCTAGAGCTGTAATGTCAAGACAGCTACGAAACTGTCTTGCTTTCTAGTTAACACCTTCAAAGTCCACCATTGTACCTAGGCTATTTGGTAAAGTTTACTTTCTCTAAAGACAGGGCAGAAATTGATTCATTTGAAACGTGGTGCTGAAGGAGAGCTTTGCGGATGCCCTGGACTGCCAGAAAGATGAACAACTACAAGTTCCATGAACAGGGTACACAAGTGTGTAATTTCAAGGAACTGTGAGTAAAGAATTTTTTTTAAGTCTTCAAATGTCTCAGAGTGAGAAGAGTATCAGCTTTTCTTCCTCTCTAGCA